GACCTAGGGCTTTATGAAGTAGACAAATTATGAATTATTATTTTTCTTATTAGAATTAAAAAAAAAATCCATTGAAAATATAACAATGAATTCTTCGTACACTGAATGAATTGTAACATCAATTCTGCATTATGCAGATAGCTAATTTTGCCAAAATAGTCTTTTCATAATAATAAATTTTTGCAAGTACAAAGAGCTTGAGAAAGGCACATAAATGATGACAAGCAGGTGCCTTTGGCCTGAAAACAGCTATTTTGGTTGTAACTAAAAGTTACTGATATTGAAGTTGGACAGACTAAATATTTTGCTACTGCAAAATCAGACAAAAATAAATAAATAAATAAATAAATAAATAAATAAATAAATAAATAACTTTTAAAGGAAAGAAAAGCCTTCACAGGCATACTAGTGGTCCGGAACACTTTTTAAGCAGTTATGTTCTTGACACATTAGAGCTGACAGAGATTTCTGTTTCATGTACGCTACATTTTCACCATTTTTTTACACCTCATGAAGATATTCATTACTAATGATATGGAAAATTGTCAGAAGGAAGATGTTCACAGAAAGAGATGGCCTTTGTGGTTAAATGGACCACAGTAGGTGTGCATGTGCACATATGTATGGAAGAACTCCCAGAGTTATTTCCTGGGCAGCAAGGCCCAGGAAAGCACTTCACACAGGTAATTATTGGGTACCCATTCCACTTTTGTGGGAATGAATTAGGTTCATCTCTGATGCCCTAACTTCATGCCTTGCTGATCACAGCTAAACTTACCTGCTAACCTAGATGAAGTTCAGAGGCACCCTCTCTGGTGGTGATCCCTTGCCTTGCACTGAACTCAGAGGCATCTGATAGATATTTCCCAGGTGATGCTCAGCCACCAAGGTAGCAAACTCCTCCCCTTTTTTTCCAGAGAAAAGCCCTGGCATTTATTCCCTCATTTTTCCTATACTAGAGGTTTTTTTAAATTATTTAATTTAATTGAATTTAATTTTATTTTCCCTCCTCCAAAGTGTACTACAAGGCATTTTCTGTTCTGGAGCATGAGTTATTTCAGAACTAGAAATATTTGGTCTGTCCCAACAGATATCTAGATTCCCAGCTTTGCAGCAAGAAGTACCAATGTTTATCCCAGGAAAACTGCAAAGTACGAGTGTTTAATACCACAAAATAAAATTTTGTATGTGATGTGAGAGGTGGGGGAGGGAAGTGGAGAGAAAGGGGAGGGAAACAGAAGCCAGAATTTAGAGGGAGAAGAATTCTGGAAAATAAAACCAACACAAATTTAAAACCCTACAGTGTGTTCTGAAATATCTCTAAAATAGAGTCTAATGTAAATACATGATAGGCCATGTTGTAAAAAAGGTTTTATTATATTCATAACAAGGTGCTGCTAAGCACATTTTTGGCACTATATAAATAATAAATAGTGATAACAACGCACATTCATGACTTCACCACATGTGAGTAATGGACCCAATGCAACCTAATGCCAATAAAATCTTTATATCTCCACATGCCATCATGTATTCTTTCTACATATTATGTCAACATTTTTAAACTACTACTAAAACATTGATCAGATCACTATACAACTGGATGTTTTTAAATCTCTGACATCTGGAAAATTTAAGTTCCTAAGAAAAGAGATCTTTAAAAGGCTCCAGAAAGTCAGAGGGAACTTTCTTACTGAAAAGATGGTCTGGAAAAGGATAGACAGAAAGCACAGGGTGTCAGTGGAAAGTAAAATGATTTCACTTGGTTTAATGTGAAAACCATAGAGAAAGCACTTAGGTTTCTTAAAAAAATGGGAATTCTGTGATCACATTGAAAAAATTTGCAAACAGTAGGCAAAGGACAAAACCCACATGATTTTAATTTTGTAAATTATACAATGACTCAGTCAAATAATGTTCATTAGACTTATAACAGCTTCTGTTACTCTCTTGCTTTCCCTCATCTTTTCTATGTTCTTGCCTTCCAGGAAAGAGCTGAGGTATTTTAATCTATCCAAAACCAAGAGCTCTTTAGAAAATGAAAGCTGTTGGCTTTCTGTATCCTCTATTTTTCAGAGCACTTATAATATTGTTTCAGGTTTTAGATTTCAGATTTCTCTGTCTTTAGCAGATACTTTCTGTAGGTCTGGGTTAGATTGATGAAATGTCCTGTTTTCTTCAGGCTTTGCTAGCTCTTGCCAGCTGAAAGTATTACCATATATGATGGCACTTTCCAAAGCAGAGTTTCTTCTCCACCTGCTAAGCATATCTTAAAAGACAGTAGCAGGTTAGAAGTATTGCTAACAAAGCAGCAGCACCACTTTCTTTGATTTCTATTCTAGCCTCATTGACAAGGAAATGCACAGCCATGTTCTCCATTGTACGTTTCAGTGATAACAGATCAGCTGGTTGAACAAACTATTTCTGAAGGAAGAAAAGAAGGGAAATTAAACATGGGGTTGAAATGGGACAATCCACAAGTTCAAATAATATCCTTCAAAATATTACCTAAGAATAAAGAATTTATTAAACAAGACTAGATAAGCTTCCATTATGTCTGGAACTAGGCCTCTGACGTTAGCTAATATTTGCTACTTAGTGGAAGAGAAAAATCCTCATTGAAGAACCTCTTTCCTTCAGGCTGACTCATCTGTGGTTTACCCATGCTTACAGACTGTAGGGTCTTCAAAGCATCTTTGCCAACTAAGTGCTGGACTTGTAATAACTGGGCAAAATTATTGCATAATTTTTGCAGCAAAGAATAGTTCTCCATTAGATATGCAGGATGCTATAACATCACTGCTCTCCCAAATATCCAACCCTGTTAGAAATTTCTATCACTTTGCCAACAATTCCTCTGATAAGCAAAGGAAATTAGCACTTCATCTGGCACCTGGCTTCTAAAGACAAACAACCTGATTTTGCTCAGAAAGGAACCTCTTCCCTTTGTGTACCCAATGCTGATTTTTATGAAGAATTTTACAGAAAAAAAAAAAAAAAAAAAAGGCTATGAGGGTTGTACGTAAAAACTAAACCTATCTAGGGAGTGTTACTGGGCTGTGAAACACAGACTTCTGATCTGTTAAAACAGCCCCTGGCATGGGGCCAGTTCGCATTCTCCCCAGTCCTTATGATGTGGGGATTGCCCTTGGTATTGCCAAGTTTGGATGCAGCCACCCAATTTTGAATTTGAAGAGTTTTCCTGTAAGGATGTGGCCAGACTGTGTCACTTGGCCACAAGGCCAGAGAACATTTCCCAACACTATTCAATTTACTGGCATGGACACCATTAAGGTAAGATTTTAAAGAGATATAAGGGCTAGTAACACAATTGTCTGAGCACTTCAAAATGCTAATGGTACTAAACTCCCACTGAAATCAGTGGTAAATGGCTAATTTGCTCAGTCCAGGAATCATGTGTACAGCTTTAAGCATATGCTCAAATCTCATAAATTCAGATCAAATGTGAGCATAAATGCATTTTCAGTAGTAGATTAGAGCTGTATAAGTTATTTCCCTATAGTTACTTTTAATATACTAGGTGACAAGCACCAAGAGCATATTCACTATTCTTTCTTCACCTGCTTTCAGTTACTTTTTATCATTGCAAACATCAGCCATTCTGGTAAAAGAAGATGCAGGCTTCCAGCTAGACCAGCTGTGAGTGTTAATTTTCTTGCTTCTAACCTAAGTGCTTGTCCAAAAAATGCCAAAGTCAATCATTTATCTAGATAGAAAACACTGTCTAAAAGTGAAAACAAATAAATGTGTGACACATCCCCCTAAAGATAAACTTTAAGCTTTATCAGTATCTCCAGGGTGTTTCTGTGGTGAAGGGCACTTGTCCTTCTTTCTAATTCTGGACCATCTTGGTTCAAGTCTTCAGAGGTTCCAAACTCTTCATGGTTCTGGTGAATCTCTGAACGTGGCCCAGTGTTTGCATTGTTATTCAATAGATGTTGCATCTCCCAGCTGCAGTATTCAGTTTCCGGGGTAGTATGCTTAATGGAATAATAAAACAAACTATCACCAGTTCAGTTTTGTCTTGCAGATTACAAAACTTGCTTATCTCATGAGGAAACCTGGCTCACTCACACGCTGCAGTCATGAAAATTACAGGCACTCCATTTACTTTGTTCTCAATAAGTCATAAATGAGTTAATTACCAAAGAGATGTAAGTGTTTTTGCCATCTCCTGTCAACAGGATATAGAAATATTTAGTACATATGCCATACGTAGTTAGATGTGTGATTCCTTCTTGTTTGTTTTTCTTACCAGCCAGAAGATTTTTTATTTTTTGTTTGTCTGTTTGTTTCTTATGTTCTCCCTTAATCCTGTAGTGTGTGCAACTGTCATGGTCAGAAGAGAAAAAATCTCAGATAGAAGGGATTTATTTATGTATTTATTTAATGGTTCTAGAGCTTACAGAGCCAAGGAGAGAGATGAAGAATTTTCAGAGAAACAAAGCTAGGGATTGCTTGTACCATTAGTGAGCCATCTTAATTGTAGAAAGAGTTGCAATATATCCATAAAGAGTTGATGTATTGTCACTATCTTGTCTTATTGTTTTTTATTATGTGCTTACTTTTCCAGCAGCATGGCTTACAGATCATATACAAGATAAAATAGTAAAATTTCTTTAAATAGCTCTAATGAAACTGCCAACATCTATTTTATGTATACGGATTTAGGAAGAAAAATAGGGTAGATATTAACTTGCTGTGTTGCAGGAGTGTGTTGTCTATCAGGATAATGAACAACAAAACTTTTCTGTTGTGCAATTAAGTTCTTTTATACTGGGTATGAGTTAATTATTCCTTTGCATACTAATTTATGTAATGAGTGCTAAGGCATCTTAAAAAATAAAAAATAAAAATTAAAAAAAAAATAAAAGGGCCAAGAAAATAACTTCTAAAATGTGTAAAATGTGGGTAATATATATTTACTGGGGAAAATTAACTGCAAATCAGTTAATTGTGTGTATCTCTTTTTTTTTTTTTTTTTTTTACTGTTAACCTGCTAAAAGAGACAAACCTAGCACAGTTAATGAAAAAGATATCAAACTTCTCAAATTCACAAGATGAAAAAAGTTGAAAATTTACCTTGAAAATTTAAGTATTATATTTTAGTTGAGGTTAAATTTTAGAAGCAGGTACTGATCATGATTAGAAAATAGATTTTTCATGAAAAACAAACAACAAAGAAAAACTAATATCAAAATATTAGAGAAAAAGTCCTCATCTAGAGATGAGCTACATATGAAAGCGTCTTAAGGATGAAAGCCATTAATCATGGCCACCCAAAAGCAAAGCAAGGAGAGGGGAAAGATAATGGGAGTAGTACACAGGCAGAAGACAACATAATATTAGAAATTTATATGAACCAAATGTCTGAATTAGATTTGGTGAGCTATTTTATTTTATTTTCTTTGGCTAATTTTCATACATTTATATCTGAATGTCAACCTTTCTAAGTGTTTTCAGACTACATTATTATACAAAAACATTTTGAATTGGAACATTAGAACATATTCTTTAAAAAGGTCAAAATAGTCTGACAGCTTGTAATATATACTGAGTGTCAAAATTAACCTTTCTGCATGTTTCTGTTTCAAGTAAGTCATGTTTTCTCAGGTCAAAAACAAAACAAAACAAACAGACAAAAAAAAAATGTATAAGGCACATTTAAGTACTCTGAATAATTCTTGCCCAGTTAGTGCTGTGCCTATACGAAATACCAGATAAAAATCCACATCTAAATCTGATTTAGCCAAATGTCTTGACCATGAATATATACACATATATATATACGTGTATGTATATATATACGTGTATATATATATGTACATATATATATATATATATATATATACGTATATATATATGTGTGTGTGTATATATATATATATATATATATATATAAGTGGATGTCACAGGCTATTAGTCCTGCAGACACCCTCTCAGAAAGGTGACGGGGGCACTCTGGACATCCCATGGCTCAGTTGCAGGCCAGCACTCAGCAGCCCACTGAGCCAGTTTGCTTCTTCCTCTGCTGGAGATTTGTAGACCAGGCCCCAGGCCCCAGGGAGGTAAGGGAAGGGTGCAGCCCCTGCTAGTGTCTTGGGGTGTGTGTGTGGGGGAGGAGGTGCAGCGCTTAGCCCCCACGCCTCTGTGTGCTTGGGTGAATTACCAGCCCATCATTGGACCACTGTACCTTCTTGTCGTTAAAACCATAGTTCACATAGTTCACAGAGTTTTTTGCTGATTTATGTTACCTGTCTTCTTTTAAAAATTACTAGAAAAAGGATGCCAGAGAGTAACAGCAAAAGGTAGTCACTTTATACATATCTTTCTCCCCTCTCTTTCTCTTTTCTGTAGAATTCTTCCATTTTTTTCCAACTCTTCACTCTCTTTTCTGAGTCCACAATCAAACTCTTCCAACCCCCCTTCCTTTACTGAAACAGCTTTCTTTAGCTTTTTCTCTGGATAGAGGTTAAATGCTACTGTGGAGAAAGGTTGATTGGATTTCTGAAAAAAAAGGCTGGTTAAGGTATGCCTATTTTCCATTCCCTTCTCCTTCAGTCTATAATTGCCTCGTCCCCAATATGTTTTTATTTTCTCCACCTCTCAATAATGCACTTAATCAAGTTTCATTGTATTATTCTCTGTATTCCCTGTATCACTGGGAAGAATATGTATATTATCCTTTCCGATATATCTTTCTTTAGAGATCATAAGTAGTTTGAGCCCTGGGTGATCGTCCTTGGGAGTTGGCATGTCACATGGACAGAAAGCCCTTTGCTATTTGAGTGGTATGCCAAGTAACCATGTATTCCTGATCAGTATGTCTACAGTCATTACTAGGCTATAAAAGTCAGCTTTCCCCACGGTGCAGTATGCTTTGGAAACAGCCAGCCCTGCAAACCCAAGCATAGATTAGGTGCACACTTCAAGACATATGGGTGGAAAACTTGACCCTGCACTCTATACATATATATAATGTGTGTGTGATTATTTATGTATGTAGGAAATACATATACATACATAAGCCAGAAAGAGAAGAAACCTGGCAAAAACACTAGGGGTCCTTCTCAGCAGCAAAGCTTTCAGAGTGTTGAAAAGAATGGAGCCAATTTCTGAGACAATTTTAGCTTTTACTGGAAATGCCTTCTCTTAGAAGGGGGAAGGAATGGAAAAAAGGGGGGTAAAGGGATAATTTATGGCTTGCTGTTTAAAACCTTCCTGGACCAAATTCACTTTTGCACTTTTTGTCACCTTTCAGCTCTGAAATGGATCCTGGCCTAAGCAGTGTTAGGGCTCATCTATCCTCTCTTGAACTTCACTGCTGAATTTGCAGTCATCAGCAGAAAAGAACCCAAATACAGCTTGAACCCGGACCTTAGAGGGGGGTGGGGACTTGCCAAGCCTGAACTCAGTGCTCAGGCTTCAAGAGCCCTGCAAGAATGTGGTAAAGAAAAGGGAAGGAGATTCATTCCTAATGAATGTGGCTTGAAATATATACTTCAAAACTTAAATGAATAGGTTTTTAGTTACAGTGTGGTGCAGAGAAAAGTAGATGTGGAACAACTGCTTACACAGACATAAAACAGTCTCTCATTCTCTCACTCTCTGGGTCCCTTAGGATGTGGTTGGGCAGATGGATACACACATGTGCAAAAGAATCCTCAAAAACAAAACAAAACAAAAATATCTAGGAAGACAGAGGGAAGGCTCTTATGTAACATAAATGTAATGAAGTCCTCTGTTAATGAGGCTGAGATTGTGACTGAACTTCTGCTGGGCACATCATTTACAATTAAAGGTTTGTAGTTTAAAAAAATATATATATTTTTCAGGGACTTCTTTCTAGCTGTATTCTTACAGCAATTAGTAGGTTTATCATTTTATACAAAATTAGCTAGGAGTAAAATGCTAAAGGCTTTTAAATTCATTTTAAATGCAGTAAATCTCATTAAGTTTGCAGCAGATTGTTTTCAAAGAAAGCATTTGGCAGCAACTATTGTGACAACTTTTTTCCAGTACTCTTACCATTACACTCTGTATGTTGTGTTTCCCATAAATGTTTGTGACAAAAGAAACAAACAGCTAAGAAATACTATACTAGATAGCAGTTTATGGTCTTCACAGAATACACAGAATCTATGCAGTGAAATGATACTGTGTTTGCAACTATAAAACATCGTATACAAGGCTATAAAAAGCTAAGATTATTGCATTTTCTTCTTGAGGTAAGTTAAATGCTTGTCATTTTTCCAGTGGTTTTAAATGGGAATCAGGAGTCTAGTTCCTTTCAGTATTTTAGGAAATTTAATCTAAGAGACATTTAGTGAGTTTAGTTATGAACTGTGTCACAGTTATGCTGCATCTGATTAGGTTTCCTAATGAGAAAAAGGTACCATATATGAGTACCATATATTTTGCATAAGGTCTCTGAAATCTCAGTAAATTCCCACTAACAGGCCTGGACTACCAACTGTCACGATTGTCTCAAGTCTCCTGGCATATCCATTTTCTCTCATTTCTATGATTCTGAGGTATCAATAGATCAGGAGGGAAGCAAAGACACCTGAACCTCCCTCACTGTGTGGTGGCATCAAAAACTTGCATTTATCACAGTTCTGTTTCCACCTAGAGATGCTATTGACTGGGTAAAACAAACATGAAATTCATAAATTTGGCCTTTTGCTGGGGAATAGTAGACATTTGGCTCCTTGAGACACAGCACACATGCAAAGAATCTATGCTTATAGTACATTTCAAACCAGTCATATAAGTGTTATGTGTGGGTACATCTTACTACACCTATGCAGCTTGTGTAACAAATCTGCACACTCTGCATCTGCTCAGCAAAAGCACATGGTCCATGTGTATCCTGGATACAGCAGATGCATAATCAGTATTCATGCACACTAATTGCATGTATCGAGGCTATGCAAGACTGACTGAGCACTCTGCTCAGATCACTCTGCAGCTCCAGCAGATGTGTGGCATATCTGCTGCACTGGACACTGAGGCTACATCTATGCTAATAAATTAAATATGCTATTCTCTGGCACCATGACAACTGATATGGAGTGGCCCACATCCATATTGCTAAACTATCTTATCATCCCAAATAAAGCAGTGGCATCCAAAGTAATCAGTGGGAACAGTGCATGTCCAACTCATCGCCAGGTCCTGAACCTGTGTCTGGGAGTTATTGGGAGATGGTTAATTCCACTGAATCAATCCATAACAAGGATTTTTCCAATATTTAACCAATATAGATGAACGAGTTCCCATGTCCTTGGTTCTTTTTAATTTATGGTACAGTCTAAATATACTAAATGGTGTGCATGCATACATGTGTATGTTTTGGAAATCCCTCAAAATAACCTGACAGTTAATAAAGATGAATTAACATAGCAATAACAAATCCCAATAATCTCCAGAAGTACATGGTGGGCAGCAGCTAAACTAAGAATTAACAGCTGCAGAAATAAGGTCCAAATCTCCCTTTTTAACCTGTAGATGACATAACCCTTTAGCTCTCCCCGTCTTCTTAGATGAATGTGAAAATCAAGATTCATTTCGATCTCATGTTATTCAGAGTTACAGTAATTAAGAAAGAGGCCAGGTAATCCCCCTTAATATTGTGCCTGAACAAAATGTAGTTTCTTAAATGTTTTTTAAGTAAAAAGCATACTGAAAATCAACAGCTACTCAGACAAATATTCCCTGTTGTCCTTCAATTTGGCCTCAAAAAATATCGCAATGGGCTACTACAAAGAGAATGACACACAGCTGAACACCTGATTTTGGTAATCGGCCACTAAATTCACCCTTCCAAAAGCGATCCTTGGAAATGGAACTATAGGTAAATTAATGTTTTCATATTGGACTGTGGATAGATTTCAACTCCATGTGGAAAATGCTGAAATATCCTACAAGTGGATTATGCCAACTCAAATGTATGCATACAGACTGCTACCAACCAGAGCAAACATTGTGAAGTATAGAGGTGTTTACAAAACTGAGGCTCTCTGTGGAATTGTTTACAAAGAATTGTTTACAAAGAGACTTCAAATCAGTAAGATCCATACAGAAAACCTACTTTTTTATTATTATCTATTTATTTAGTCTGCTGATTATTCATGTGTCTGACTATGTCCATCTATCTGCAAAATTTTTGAGTTGGTGGGCCATCACTGAATACATTTGAAATAGATTTCAGAAGCAATTGAATATTTCAAATATTTGATGCTGGGAAATGAAAAACTGCAATCTGTGGTTTGCCGTAATGCATTTGTTTAGCAGCAGTTGACTGGCCAATGGTTATGCATGCTGTGGCCAATGTAAGGACTACTGAGCAGCTACAGTATGTTCTGTCTCTCTTCCTTCTCTTTCTTATGATTCTGACCCAAATAATATTTTTTATATATATTTATTTATTTATATTATATAACATTATACTGCCCACCCACTCTGGGGACTCATGGAGCACAACAAGGCCATAGGTGTGAAGCAGCAACTGACTTGCTGTATGGATTGTAGTCTGACAGAAATAGCCACAACCTGCCTCATGTAGGCAAGAAGCAGCACTTAGGCAGAGGCGCTCTGACTTCAAAGATGGTACACTGGCTTTTACCTGGAGGACCAGGCAGGACCAGGCAGGACACACCTGCGCTGCTGTCGTAGCACCTGTACCAGGAGACATAACCTTGAACAAGATGACATGCTGGAAAACACCCTTTGCCTTGCCTGAGCAGGGCCTTATTAGTTGTCTGCTTCTATGCATCATAGAGCAGGACCTAGAAGGATAGAACATAACTTCAGCTGTCAGTTTCTGGGGCTGCAGTCACCATCATGAGATACCATTTATCAAATGAGTCAACATCCGGAGTTATCACTTAGGCCCTGAGGAGACTTTAACATTAAAAAGATTTATTCCAGAGAACATATGATTTGGTTTACAATACACTGTTTTATCTGATAATAATAAGTGCAGAGAAGTTGCCAAGGAAAGAGCAACAAGGAGCAAAAACAATGCAACAGCACTGCTTTCATTTAGCTCACCTTTCAGTCTGTTAAATATCTGGAAAGAATTCCCACATACATTTATCCCAAGCATGTAAAATCCTTCTTTGTCAACACTACAGAGCCCTTACAGGATTTACCCTGGGTTTCTTAGAGTGCTTTTCTGTCCATGAAATGTCAAGACTTCAAGTTCTTCTAAAAAGTTTTGAATTCCAAACAATTAACTGAACAACGAAGCCATCTCTAATCTCATTTGTTCATGTTGTAACTCAACCAAGGAGAGTAAAATACAGTCATATTTCTAAGCCAAGCCTTCTGTGAGATATCACAGAGCAAAGCATCAGAAGATATTTTTGGGGAAAAAACAAAAAAAAAAGTTGAAAACTCCTTTACATTTAAGATCATATTTTAAGACAAAAGGACTTCCTGAATAAATTTAACATATTAAATAGAGAGAGAGTTTCAACTTCAACTATTGAAAGAATATAACTTTTCTGCTTGCATTTTGGACAAATAACCAAAAGGAGATACAAATCTCCCTTAGGAGTTGATCAATATGAAAAGAAAAGACACCCTGCTTGCAGCAGGAAATTTCCCAGCTGAGAACAGCTGAAGTGAGCATGCCTATGTGAACCATGAATGTAGCAATTACTGACTAATACAGATTGTCAACAGCTGACAGTGATAATGCTATTCAAAGGTTTTATTTATAATTCCTGCATCTGATATTGACCAGTGTTCTCCCAACAACAATAAGGAGAGGTTTTGTAAACAGCTGCACTAGCAATTAATGTTCTACTGCAATGGTTTATTTTCCTTGCTTTTTGTTTCTGATCCATTTTCTACAGTTTTATTTCATTTCCTCTTTCAGAATATGCCCTTCTCAAAGAAAATCCTATAGAAAAGAGAAATCTCATTAACTTACTATCAGTTGCTGTTTACAGCTCACATGGACTAACATGAAAGTTAGTTTGCCTCTGGCATGTATGCTGCCAATAAAAAGTAAGGCATTGGTATAGATGTAATATGTCCATTATTCTTAAAATTTTTGGCTTAATGTAAAATATTTTTCCAGATTTGCACATCACATGGCACATGAAACTAAAACTTATGACTGCTGCATTCATTATTCTGTAGGGTTAGAACTGAGTAAAATATGAATCATTTCCCCTAACAGATGTTGTTTTGAAGTTAATTTAATAGAATTAATGATTATAAAACCTTATGTTATAATTAATGGTTATATAAGTTCCTGCATCATAAAATAGGAAAATACAACGGTCTGGTCCTGGTTTGTCACATTGTAAAGAAGCAGTAAAGTTCAGATTTACGTTAAGTATGAATTGCTATAATAGGTTTCCAAATCTAGTTATCTATTTGAGCTTCTCCATTTGGAACACTATAAATCAGGCCTGTTTGCAGAGAACATTTCTGTTATTTTTTTTCTTCTAAGGAATCAGAATCCATAAGCAGTCATTAGCATAGATTATTGCAGTGAAGTGAAAATTCATTTAATTAAATCACTGAATTGCCTGTGTTAAAATGCAGGTAATAATAATATCAGAGAGTATCAGAAAAGTACATAGGAAGCTACTGAAATTTGGATGTAAGCAAAGACCTGAGATACATGAATGTATGCCTGAAAAACGGAGAGCAAAGAAATAAAGGAGTAGGATCAGATCAATATAGTCCAGAACATTACGGATGACAAATTTTATGGTGAATATTACATTTTTGGACCATGTCAATAGAAAAATGTATTTAGGCCGGAACAGCACACAGAGATAATTATAAATTTTGGAGTATGGGACAAATGTTGAAATTGTTCACAATAGAGACTAGTGCAGAAAATTTAACATTTATGCAAACAGTTCACCAAATTAACAAGTTCACCAAAATTCACTACTTGGGCAGGCTTTGGAGTCCTAGCTTTGCATTGCCACAAATGCACTTACACAGAAGTATGTTGATAAAAGTGGACTGTTTCACAGACAGCAGTATGAGTCCAGAACTTCAAGGACAATTGTCCCACCTTCTCTGTAAGCTTAGCATACCAAAGCCACCAAAAGTATTTGCAGTCTCTAGAATGAAAAAAAAGAAATCTTTTCAAAAATAAAGCACTTAAATCTACTGAGTGAAACAGATTAAAATCAAATGTTTGAAAACAAAGCCCTCCTCTAACCCAGCATATTTTCGCAGCATGATTCCTTTCCATCAGCTTTGCTATCCAGTCCAGCAACTTTCCATAGCTTCTTCCATTGCCACAACTTTTGCAGGAGCTCCCTGGGAGTTCTGGGTGGGCTCCCTCATGCAAGCTGGCATGCAGCTGCCCCAAGGAATACTGTGGGCTTTGGCAGTGCTGCAGACTTGCTGCCTGCTGTGCCCCCGCTTTTGCAGCTTGGACTCTGGACGTCTCCCTCAGCTCTCTGTTCATTGTCAGAAAAGAGGCAATTGCCCCGTTTCTCATGCCCGGTGAATTATGCATGAAGCCCTCTGCATCATAAGCAGATAGACTTATATGGCAGTCCAAAGTCATGTTACTTTATCAAAATACAGTAAACTGTGAGCAGACAAATAAAGCAACCCATCCATGAGAATCAGATTTACAACACAGTTTTTTTGTTTGTTTGTTTGTTTTTTTCTGTGCACAAGTAGTAAATCTGATGTGCACAGGAGGCATATAACTTCAGATGCATGTGCAGGCCACATGAGCAGAAGATGTTCAAGGAGTTTAGCCAATGTTTCCTGGTACCTGGGCAGTCGCACAGTGCTGGGCTGGCTGTGTAGGGCCACCATAGTGCATGCAGTTGCCTGGAGTCTTGAACGTATGACTAATAGTACATCTAGTGTCTCCACATGAACTGATAAATGTCTCCACATGTCTGATAAAATCATCTGCCCTACATAAGCTACCAGTCAGCCTAGACATGTATTACCTTTCCTCAAACCGCACCTTTAGAAAAATCCAAGGTGAAAAATATATGTACCTGGGAAAACCTAGAGACGTGGTAGGCATGCCCAAGCTGAGTTCTGTGGTATCACATCTCTGTTGTGAGCAGTACCCAGGTTAGCTCACTGAAATCTTAGAGCCATGTCTACGTGAGGTTCAAACACAGGAATGACTGCAGTGTAGAGAGACATTTGATAAATGCTATGCAAGGAACAATAGAAATTGGTGTGTTCCCAAACACAGTTTTCAGTTGTAAAGGGAAATTATGGAAACATGAGGTAAAATATTGTTTTTGGATATTGGCAATGCAGCGTATGGATTTTTGGGGGTATTCATTTGTATTTTTTTGGCAGCTTGTTTAATTAGGACAGATAGCATTTGGCTTTTGCTTGTATTTTTTCTTATCACATTTTTTGGCTTTCAAACATAAAGCAGCAAGAAAATACAATTAGCAGGGAAAAATATTTCTGTATTCTAAGTATTCTTTGCTTCTTACTTCTCTACCTTTCATCCTAAAATATTGCAGCATACCTGGATTAAAAGCTCAGCTCTATTTGTGAAAGAAAAATCTCTGTCATGTCTCTTCTGTCTGCACAGGACAGAATATCATTTGGATATAATTTCTGTCTCTTTTTGGATACATAGGAAGAAGATGAATGACATGATGAACTTCAAAAGAAAACCTTCAAAAAAAATGACTGAACAGAAGAAAAAAGGAAATAAAGAAAAAAAATAAAGAAAAACAACAACAACAACAAACAGTTTCTCTGGGGCTTGCTGCTGTGCCTCTGGTGCCTGAAGAACCTTCCAGGGTGATAATCATCCCATTCCTCCAGGGGACCCAAACAGGCCAGTAAAATGAGTGCTACAAATCTGTAGTACTAGCTGTATATCAGATGCTTAACTTCAAATCCAGGCTCTGAAATGGATCGTCATGGTGCATATGAACAAGGATCTCTTTCTCTGAAAAACAAAAGTCAAGCTGTATGAGTAGTTAACATGCTCTGAAAATAAATAAATAAATAAATACTATGCTTTTCACAACACTTTTCTGCTTATTTCTCCAAGAAAGTGATTCCTGGTCTCTGTTTTGTAAAGCAGGGTAAAATTTGTACCCTCAAAATTACTGTATCTGGTACTGGAGAAGAAAATAACTTGTTTTTCTCTTAGAATATAGATTGTGACCATATGTAGTGCAGCTCTTTCTGTTGTTCCTGCTTTGATTTCTGTCCTCTAGAAAGTTCCCATACTGGAGAGCTCCTGGAAATCATTTTGGAGTCAGAAATTCTTTCTGTGTAAAAAATTTGAGACTTCCTGCAGCTGTGGGATATGAGCCAGCAGACAGGAGATTTGACCTTTCTTGCCAACTCCTGCACAGTGCATGGCAGCAGAAAGACCCATAATACCATCAAAGCTTGATGTGGAGCTTTTCCACTTGAGAAACAAGTCAGCAATGAGTGTTAACCACAAGAACAGAAAGAGGAATAAAAATATCATCTGGCTATTCAGAACAGCTACGTACATAGATTTTTCACACTAATTTCCATGAAGAGGAAACGGTATCAGACATGGCACCAAGCCCACTTACTCCTCAGTCTGGCACATCTCTTCTCCTTAAGCACCACGTAGCTTGGATCTGGACCACGCATAAGGGCTTCATCATACTGGTGGTACCAGATGAGCATCCCAAGCCTTTGTTCCAGACACAAGGGAGAGGTGGTCCTAGAATGGCTCCTCCCAGAACAACTTCACAGAAAGATTCTCTGTTCTAGAGATGGAAAAATATGCTAACTGGGTCATAATGGGATACCACTTTTGCCAGCAAGACAGGAATAAAACAAACTTGTTATAATGAGTGAAATTCTGTCCCTGGGAAAAGTCAAGAAGAGGTTGTCATTAGCTTTAGTACTGACAGGATTTAATTTAGTATCTTTATTGTCAATTTTAAAATCTTTTCAGGTAAATACACTAAAAGCATTACAGAGAGAATATGAGCCATTTGAATCCAAATAATCTCTCATACAAGTTATGAACATTTACTCTTCAGTTTCTGAAATACTAATTTAAAGGTTGGGAAACCTGCATTTCTGTTGCTAGAACTCCCCTTAGCAGACAACCATGAACTGAAAAATTGGCACCATGCTATTCTGCTTCATCTGGAAATCTTATCTGGTCATTGTTAGTTCAGGTATCTCTTCACTATACGTTGCTTTACGGTAGGAGACACATTCTAGTTTTCCCTAAGATGTAGATCTTAAATACCATTTAAAATACAGATCCAAATTGGACAAAGCCAAGGTCAAGACTAGTGGTATCCAAGTTGGGCATATGTGGAAAGCAAGTGTATGAGGAGAAGAGCATTTATGATTTACAAGTACAAAAAGATCCATGTACAAGGAAAACAAATCATTATTTACTGGTTTGATCGTGGACTTCTGACTATAGACCTCAGTGCAGGGCTATAGTAAGGTAAGGAAGGACTAAATTTCAGTGTCAGGCTGGATTGGACAAGCAGCTGGACCTTTTCGTTCCTTTAATGGGACCTGCTCCAGCCACACTACACCACAGCTCTTCCGTGCTGTTGCTGTGCCACGTCCCACTCAGCCTACCAAATTCCGTGACAGCAACAAGCAGAAGCAAACATAAATATTTGTTCTTTGCCTCCTAACAAATTTACAGTGTTTAGCTAAGGTTAAAATGCTTAGCCATATGTTTGTCTTTTTTTTTTTTTTTTTTTTTTTTTTTTAACTGTGGCTTTGTTTTGTCATAAATAATGTCTTTGCCCAGCTAGAAATTTAGAAGTTGATTAAGGGAAGGAAGGAGGGAAAAAAGGCAGCTCGTAAGGGACAAACTTCACAGTTCTTCAAGGAAGGAGAAAATGCACTGAAATAATAAAATTCCTTGCTTTATAGTACAGAAGCTACCACAGGATGGGCCTGCTGGGTATCAGAAGTACCAGTGAGTCTTAGCTCTTAATATTTAGCCCTTACTTAAGCACTTTCCTAATACATGCTGTTCAGCACACTGCTTTCTGAAGTGAGGTGGGTGCTAACCAAACTAGCATCCAAAGACAGCACAAGAATGTTTTAGTTAATAGCTGTCTACTGTTTTCTACATCTACTCAACATGTTCTACTCCTTGTTGTGTTTAGATATAGTCAACAGTGGTCTAGTCAATACAATCAATAAGGTTTTCTTCTGCTGCCACAGAAAGGCTTTTTCATTCGATATGTCCTGTGGCATTCAAGGGATCTACATGGGGTTGGCAAATACATCACAGGACCTGCAAGGACCTTACTGGAGCAGCCACTGGAAGCCAGACAGCATACCTGGGAGCATTAAATGCCCATGCATACGCAGGTGTATGGATATTGATGGAGTCTACAGATATTCAGCTGACCATTGCGAAGTACCTGCAGTAGTGCCAAATCAATGGGGCGATATTGGCCCCCTTGACTTTATTATTCAGTGTGTCAGTGAGTCCTCAGACACCAGTTCACGTACTGACACCTGAACAAAGCTGGAGCTGAAGCCCACCCTCATACAGAATGATTTACTTAGATCTTTCTTGATTTTAGCCATGCTGTAGTGCCAGGAGGAAAGCATATCCTCTCTTCTAAAAATAGAAAGAAAAGAAAAAAAAAAAAAAGCAATATTTCAGTTTTGCAGTCCTGCACTTTTGGACGCTTCAATATTGAGTATCTGAGTATTTGTTTGCACTTTAGAATGACTAAAAGCAGAGCTAGCCTTAATGCCAAATGCCAGATCCAACCTCTTTCATTTGGCACATGTCAGGTCTCTAAATAGCCACAACTGCTCTGTGCACATGCCCACAGACTCCATGCCCACATGCCACAGGCTGGATTCCTCCAGCCAGGACATTTGCCCAGGCTGTGCATGCAAGCTCAGCACATCTTTGCCGAGGGAATGCTGACTGCCATGTCCAAACCTCTGCTCCAGTCCCGCTTGTTGTCTGAGCTATATCCTGACATCTTCTTGTATGTAATTAACTTTCTCAGCTACAGTGTTAGCCAGCTGCAGGATTCTTACCCAATGACATATTTACTCTCTCTCCTGCCAAAAAGGCTTTTTTTTTTCCTTTTTTTTTTATTGTTGTTTTGTTTTGTTTCTGTGTAACAAAGACAGCCAAACACGTTAGCCTTTCTCTAGGGATTCCTGTACTCCGGGTAACTGTACCATCTGCAGATCTTTCTCAGAAGGAATTCTCAAGACCCAGCTATCTCAATTACACACGTTTTTGCTTCATAGATGGGCAAGGCAAATTTTGAAGCTTTTGATGTTACTGGACCATGGCCATGGTCCACATATTTCTAAAAGTGCTCTCCTAAGCCGTGGGTCATACAGCTAGTTTAGATGGGCTCACACTTCCCCTGCCACAGGCAATTTCCCCAGCATTGTTTAAAAAGCTCCCTAGCATAGACATTAATAATGCAAACAGCTGGGAATCAAATGCATAGTTTTACAGAGAAGCATCAAGGCATATGATCCTATTGGCAGAGCTGTGCAGCACTCTCTTTTTATTTAGATTTCAGGCTTCAGTTGCCTCAGATGAACTAACTGCTAGTCAGTTCATCCCCCAAAGTGACATGTATGTATGAACAAAGCAGTCTAAGGTACTTCAGTGTATTGTTCTTTGAGAGATGCTGATACACACACAGGTAGGCAGAGAAGCAAGGACCTATAAGTGGGACCTGTGATGAAACCAGGTCTGATGAACAAGAAAGCTGTGCTCACTGTCCTCCATGGCATCTTTCACGTGGAACACACCCACAGGTAAAATTTGTCAAAAGGCTCTGACTTCAAACCTGCAAAATACTCAGTTACAAATATTTGATACAAACACCATTTTCCAAAGAACATTTTAAAATTAAATATAATATCTCATTAGAGAAGATACATGTTCACTCTTCTGTTCTTTGCCAGCTACTTGCAAGATAAACCTACACAACATGTGCAGCATTTAAAAATACCAGTTGTACTTTAGTGATTTCTGGTAGCTTGCATATATATTGCAAACCATAAAAATAGAAAACTCCAAGAAAAAGGCATAGTGTACATGACAGAATTTTTGCAGTGTCGGGAGGATAGAACTTCTATGACCAAAAGCAATTTGTTTAGCCTGTAACAACAAGCATTTCAAAGGAAACATAATGTGTCCTAGAATGTTTCTTGCACAGGAATTAGAACCAGAAAAAGACACAACATAGCAGAAATGTGGTACAATTTTGAATATGGAAATTCCTGTTGTGAATCTGAAGGGTGGCAGATCCAAATGTAGGCTTCTTCAGTTCTTTCACATGGAGCAGTCTCTGTGGGTGAAATCATCAAAAGTTTTTAGCAGCTCTGAGCATTTCACACACACCAGGACAGAACATTTTTGAGACAGGGTATTTTTGCTGTCGTCATTATTGTATGTTTGTTTGTTTTATTGTCTTCAAGGGCCAATACAGAGATTCTGAAATGACAGAGACAGCTGCACTTTACAAGATGAAACTTGATTTATTCCTGAAGTCATTTTTTCCCCCTACAACCTCTACAAGAGGCTATCACTGATTGGCAATTATGCGCTGTGATTTAACACAGCACATAATTGACTGTACTGTTGGGCACTACAACATTCTTTCTGTTTTTGCAGACTTGCCAGGAAAAAGTATTTTAAAATTGTCTGACAATTCATCTTTTACTCTGAAGTTCAACCATGTAAGTTTTCTACTCATTAGACCTACTCTTTCCCTCTAGAATCTGATGTCTCTACTCATTAGATATCCTCTTTCCCTCTTAGAATCTGATGTCCTAAGCTCATTGCTTAAAAAAATAAAGTAAAAATACAAAAATAAAAATTAAAAAGTTTCTTTTCTCTGTTCCTGCCCATGCTATACATTCTCTTCAGTAGGATTTCACCTGAATTGTGATTCCAGAATCTTTACTGCTAAACCTGGAGCCTGAAAGATCCTGGTCAGTCTTTTAGATTTTGTGATGAGTTTTCCAAGGATCTTAGCTAGTTAGGAGACACCCTTCTACTCGTGATCTGAAAAGATTTCATCTGGAACTCATGAAAGACAATAAACACATCTACAATTTAGAGGCTCTCAAACAGAATATTCAATCAATTCTAAAGTCCTGCTGCTAAAAAATTCTTAATCATTCTGGAAGGACATGTCTGGTCATTTAATGGACATGCAGAACCTTTGTCAGGATATAACACTATCTTTTCCCTGATGAATATTAAAAAAAAAAAAAAAAAAAAAGTATGAAACCCGCAATACACTTAACCTTTCTTTACTTGAAATGACATTTGGTGTTACAATGTCAGAGAATGCTTATAGTATTCATGTAATCACCTCTGTGAAGTTAGCAGCAGTCCTGATCAAAAGGCATAAGATAGCTTAATGTTCCTTCAGAAAATTTATACATCTGAATAAATCTGGTCACCCAGATTATAGTCTAGTAGAGTTAATGCAATTTACCCACATATTTCCAAAGTTCCTAGTATGACTTTATTAAGACCTCCCCAGGCTTGTCTCTCTTCTAGCCTTTCATTTTGAACTTTCAAGCCCCAGCTATTTTTAGAAGACTCTCAGTGGAATGTGGCTTTCTTTTCGTTATTTAGAAGGCCTCATTTACATGGCTTCCCTCTTACAGAATTGATAATTCTCAGTCTTAATGCAGTGCAGAGATAATAACTGAGGAGATAATATTCTGTTGATAGATTTATGGTAACTGAAGAAAACCGTACATTGTCCACTGCAAAGCCACCCACACAACTCCAGATGCTTAATCCTTTCTTTAGAACAACAAAGGAAAGCCAGGTGAACTGATGTTTTTCTCAAGCAGTTCATCTGCTTTTTAACATCTCTAAGGGGAAAGCCACCCTGGTAGAATGGGTTATATACATCAGGCCTATACAATACTTAGTCCGGTTTAAGTCTCATATGTGGGAACATAAGTAACTCCCTAGTTGTTGCACGTTTCTTGTGTAGTCCATGGGCACACAGAGTATAATTCCTTCCTAGTGACTAAATCAAATCCTTTTTAAGACACTCCTCTTTTTCATAACCATGCTACAGCCTATAAGACTAAGTAGGAAAATTATGACTATTAGAGAGATTGCCCAAAGCCAATTAAGTCCCGGGGCCTAACCTACTTACTTATCCCTTTTGGTAATGATGAATAAATACCCTTGCACAGTGGCACAATGACTTACACCAGCTGGGCTTCCCCCAGCTTACTTTAGTACCACAAAGCAAAACTAGCACAGTCGCTTTTCCATGATGCTGCAAAGAGGTGAATTATCCCATAGTATCCTCTCTGACACACTGATCCCCACATTTTGGGACCCAGATTACTCACCTTGTTAAAAGCAGTCTGGGAGGTCCATGCAGCTCACTCTAATTTGTTAGGTAAGGCTGATGGTGCTGGCAGAGACAACGAGCTGTGGAACAGTGTTAAGGAACAATTGTTCTGCAGTGCAACCCTAATTTCACATTTAATTCACACTCCACTCCAAATTCAAGAAAAACTATAGTATCACAGTCATAGTATCATAGGATCATAGAATCATTAAGGTTGGAAAAGACCTCCAAGATCATCAGGTCTAACCGTCCCCCTTCCACCAATGTCACCCACTAAACCATGTCCCTAAGCACTAGGTCCAACCTTTACTTGAACACCCCCAGGGACGGTGACTCCATCACCTCCCTGGGCAACCCATTCCAATGCCTGACCACTCTTTCTGCAAAGAAATTTCTCCTAATTTCCAACCTAAACCTTCCCTGGCACAACTTGAGGCCATTCCCTCTAGTGTTATCACTAGCTACCTGCGAGAAGAGGCTGACCCCCAGCTCCCCACACCTTCCTTTCAGGCAGTTGTAGAGAGCAATAAGGACTCCCCTGAGCCTCCTCTTCTCCAGACTAAACAGCCCCAGTTCCCTTAGCTGCTTTTCATAGAACTTTTGTTCCAGGCCCTTCACCAACTTCGTAGTCATCAGATGTAAGGAATAATTATGGATTATAGACAAGGATATCTGCCCTAATTGAGGAAAAAATAAATCCCAGGGTAGATGCTATTGTTTTTTTGTTTTGTTTTGTTTTTCTTGTTCTAAAATTCATGGTTCCACCCTATGCCTGATCCATTTACACCACGTTATTTCAGGCTTCAGACAAGCTCTTCTTCCTCTCTTTTTTCAGTTTTACCTGGTTTAGAAATTGTGCTTATTCTATATAAAGGCATAGGAGCAGTCACTATTAGTAAAATCACTCTAGACCCTAATCATCACTACATCACGAAGAACTGTGTAATGCCATCAAAAAGCAAAGCAATAATGCACAGAAAGAGAAGAATGAGTTCATCAGACAGGAGGACCTAGTTCTTCTATCACTGTTGCATAAACTTAGTCAGACTTGAACAAATTTTTCATTTGAGTCTTCATGGCCAAGGAAACTTTGATAGATCATTTTGACCTAGACAAAACATTAACAGAATTGTCTGAACTATAAATATTCTTGTTTTTTTTTTCAGCCTTGGCTTGCATTTCTTTTTCTTCTACTTAAGCAATATCATTTCATTCTGAAGAGTTCAAAGGGAATGAATTAAAAAATTAGTAAATAAAACAAATATAAGATAGATACATAACAGAACCCTATTATGGTTTATCTAACTCTCACTAGTCATGAGAAAAAAGTTTTCGAGTCTTACAAAGGTTATACTCCCTGGGTAGATTTCCAAAGATTATGAAAATTGAGACTAGTCAGCCTTGACATGAATTCAAGGATAGTGTTGTGCAATCCTCTTGCATTATGATGTGTTTGTATGCTTTTGAAGCAACTTGGGAGGTTACTGAGTAAAAGTGCATAATACGTTCTCCACATAATTTTAATCCCCTTGAGACAAGAAGATGATGCAAAAACGCTCTCAGCATGCCCCAATAAATGATAGCAGAGATTTTTAAAGGAGGATAACATACTGCTCCAGGGCTACCCAGAAACCCAGACATGCCATTCTTCTCTACCCAGTGCTGAAGATTAGTTAAGTTACAAGACGTATCTACAGAAGGTAGACATTCCCCTCATTTCCAGAAAGTTTGTTAAATACTTCTGTAGTGGTTGCTCCAGCTGTCAAATCCTCAAGGGCATCTTCTTGTGATAACCCTCAGTCTAGCTATCCAAGTCTTACTGCTCTTGGAAGCAAGTCTGGTTTCATGATCAAGCTCTCCAAGAGCTAACTTCTGCTCTGGTGCAGAAGAGAATACCTCAGGCTAAACACTATAGAGTAAGCAAGGTGATTTTTCAATTGATAAGAAAATGAGACCTAGGCTAAAAAGTATGCTAAATCCAACCATAGATCTATGTCAAACAACCATTTTCCTGTCTGTGTGGTATAGAACACAGCTTAAACTGTGTATATAAACTCAAAAGTATCATTTATTTGTACTACATCTGTTGCTGTTGTGTTTTTATACACCTTCTCAGAAACTTAATTAACCTGTGGAGAACTGTTGAGCAAACTACATTGATTCCAATATATATATGCATATATATATGTATATATATCCATATATACACTTCCAGTGTCCTAACTTCTATACACATTCTCTTAACTTAAATAATTTAAAATTGCACTAATTTTTATGGAATGTGATAAAATAACATGGGTACATCTATGTGTATGTGTCCCAGAAAGTTCATGAATGTATGAAATACCTGAAAATACATCTATTGGTATGAAAATTAAAACCATGTGTGGCTGTGCATCTGTAATTTTTGCAAGCATGTGTAACTGACTCCACTTTCCATTTAAACTTAACTTTATTTGAATAAATAAAAACCATGGTCTTTTTTCCCCAATCTGTGACATATGGGCATCTAGAAAAATATTTAAAATATTTTCTAATTACTATTATTCATATATTTCACTCCCCAGAGGAGGACCACAAAGGGATCAGAGGGCTGGAGCACCTGTCCTATAAAGACAGGCTGAGATAGTTGGGCTTGTTCAGCCTGGGAAGAGAAGGCTCCAGGGAGACCTTACACTGGCCTTTCCAGTGCTTAAAGGGGGCCAACAAGGAAGATGGAATGAGAATTTTTATCATGGATAAAGTATAGCAATAAGACAAAAGGTAATAGTTTTAAATTAAAGGAAGGTAGATTTAGATTAGACATTAGGTAGAAATTCTCAACCTTGAGGGTGGTGAGGCCCTGGAACAAGCTGCCCAGAGAAGTTGCAGACGTCCCTTCCTGGAAGTGCTCAAGACCAAGTTGGATGAGGCTTTGAGCAACCTGGTCTGGTGGGAGATGTCTCTGCCCATGGCAGAGGGCTTGGAACTAGATAATATTCAAGGTCTTTTCCAGCTCAAACCATCCTGTGATTCAATGATTCTGATTTCTAAATGCTTATAAAAAAAACTACACATAGCAGATATTTGATTACGTTTTTCTCTAATTTCTCCTGTTATCCTTGTTAGGCTTATTCCCCTAACTAATTCTTCAGTCCCTATAACCACAACTCCACCCCGACGTGCAAAGCTCTGTAGTTACAAATTTATCATCTAAGGCCATGCTATTTATCTGCCAATGCTCATGTTAAGCACTTTTTCTTGCCATATTAAAAGGAAACTATAAGCAATGAGGTTGAAAAACCATGTTAAACTGCAAGTATCATTGATAATTGGTGACTGGCTCACAGAGATTAGTCATGGCAAAAGTCTCCCATGCCACATTCTACAAGATCATTCACTTAATATGTATTAATTTAACAATGTAAATATATGCCTTCAAAATTAACCATATTTTGCACTGGGAAGAACCTATTACAAATATGCTGGACACCATGGTGGGAACACTGTTCCACACCTGCACTCATTTTCTGGGTAGTCCTTGTTTCACACGCAAGCCTTTGAAAGGATAAGCAGGGGTGCAGAGTGGTGCCTCCATTCATGCAAACATAGCAGAAGGAATGAGATTTTATTTCCAAACTCACACCAGTAAGCACAGAGATGACTGACATGCAAATGGGAAAACATTTTTATGACTTCATCAAAAATAAAACTGGTGTTTCTTCTTGACAGAACTGCTTACAAGGAAAGGATGAAGTCTCCACCAGAGCAGCCTGTGTCTGTCATTATCATAACATGCCTGTAAAAGCTGAAGACCATTTGTAGTGGGATATCAGCAAAGCTGAAGTTTCATTTAAAAACAGCCTGCCCCAGTTTACCCCCCAGCAAAGAAGTAGCTGAAATTCATGCAGTAGGACAATTGCTGTCCTGCTAGAAGGCAAAGTGTGGTATTGGATCAGTACAGGGAAAAAGGCAGCTCAAGAGAACAGATACAGCTTCTGGCTCTAATTCCTATGCGGGATTATGCATCTGATTCTGGTTTCTAATAAAATAAGCACGAATACATTTTTAACTGACTGCTATGGTTTACAGCATTCACAGAAATCTTCCACATGGTCTTTGCAGCTCTAAACAACCTGGCGCAATACTGTTTACAGTGTTACTCTGGAAGACCACCAAACTCATAACCTGGTATGAACCACAGAGTATCTAAAATCTTAGGAGGGATTGAGCCCTGCCAAGACCAGAGAAATCTGGCCAGCAGGAGCTGCTGCAAGGGAAGAGAAGGAAAATGCCTAACAGGAGCTACACCCCTGCCCTTGGGGCTGCTGCAGCTGAGGCTTCTACCCTCGGCCATGCTGGTAAGATTTTATTACCAGAAGGCATAAGGACATGATAAATACTGGTGACTGTGGAGCAACTGAAGGCTGATTACCTAAATCCTCTGTGCTAATACACAATGCTTCTTTTCCTGTCAAAATGCAGAACGTTCTTCAGTTCACCACACAAACACACACACAAACCAACAACATAACACCAGAAGGAAACCAACCCCCCACCTTCACAATTTAAAAAAAAAATAAAAAAAAAAATAAAAAAGGAAAAAGGGCAGTGGTCAATTGCAAGTAATCTCTAGGTTTGCTAGAGATTAAAAGGAGAACCAGGAAAATCTGCTCTTTTTTAATGATGTGTCTTTTGAGTGTTTCACATGTAACTTTTGTTTGCTTAACATCATAATAACTTTCAAAATCACCATACAGTCAGAGAGAAGTTGAATATCTCAACCAAAATCATTAGGACTGCAAGACAATTATGAATTTTATAGTGCAGGACTTAGCTTTCAAATAGTGTCACTTTTCTGAATAAATCTATTTCAGCAGATTTTGAGGAGAGTATCATTAAAAACAAACAAACAAACAAAAAATCCGTTTCATCAGGTTGCACAACAGCTTAGATAATAGTAAAAATGAAAGTAATGCATTGCATATAGTGGCATTGTTTATGGGATGTAGGACACTGAAAGTAATTCCATTATCATAACTATGGTCTTAGTAAAGGTTTGCTGTGTATTGGAAAAACAAAAACAGTCAATCAAACCACCACCAACAGCAAAAACCACAAAACACAAAGCATTCAATATCAACATACATCCAGAAAGAACACTCATCTTAAAGCATTGTTTACTATAGGTAAATTTGACACATAATTTGTTTTTTCAGACTTCTGGGCCAGGATTTCTGAAGCTACTTTTTGTCTGCTTTTAAAGTGAGATTTAAGAATATGGACCATCCTTTCTGCTAGGCTCCCCTGTTTCTCAAGACCTCATCACCTTACACTTGTACATAGTACAGCTGTTTAGCTGTGGCAGTAGGTGGTCTAATGAAATATTACCATGCTATTTCTTCAAGGACTCCTTTGGCTCCTTGTGTCATTTATCCCTCTCAAAATCACGGTGTTTACTTTGGACTGTTTTGCTGGAATTGCTCCTTGGTGCCTGATTGATTTGATGAAAAGAAGGACAGGCCGCCAGTGCCCCTTGGCCCCCTTTAATAACAGAAATGCTTCTCAGAGGGCTGGCAGCATGCACTCGCTCTAGGCATTGCTCCAGGTTTCCTCTGAGGAGCCGCTCTTTGATGACACATTGCCTGCTTGGAGGAGCCATGTTGACATCACCAGAGTTGGCTTCCCCTGCATGCTGGCGGTAGGAGATGCAATTCAAGGAGACATGAAAGGCACGGGAGGATGGGGGAAGGAGTCGTCTTCCACGAGTTGCAGATCAAATGCCTGGTTTGTCCTCCAGAGTCAGAAACAGATTTTGCTGATGCCAAGCTTGGAAATTGAAGCTGTCGGCCCAAGCACAGCTGGAATGCCAGCTGAGCTGCTATTGTTTGTTTAGTGACAACAGTTCTCAATGAGAACCTCCAGAAAACAGCACGGGTCTGAAGAGGAAGGATGTTGCCACTGCTGTGAAGTACCAACTATCAGCATCTCCCTGCTCCGACTGAAGCAGTTGCTGAGAGCTCTCAGCACTTTGTAGGCAGTGATCATCACCTCATGATTAGGCCATTGGGCAATTAAGGCTTTCAGATATTCCCACACAGAACTGATGAAGGTTTACAAACATGAGGTTCTGATTCTCACTACTGCTATGAAGTATGACTACTGAAACATTTATTTTCACTTCAAGTATTTGTTCATATGTGTACTCCACTGTTGGTATGCATACACAGTATGGGGCTGAAATCTAAACTCTTTGGCTAGCAGTCCACTGGGGACATTCCTGCTTTTTGCACTTTCACCTGCTTTGATGCTGTAAGTATAAAGGGCTGTTCAGGTATAATAGGGCAATTTCTGCTCAGCATTCACGTTCTCCCACTAGAATAACATATGGCATAGTCAGTATATGCAGTAGTGTTAGCTTGACAGTGTTGATTAGGTAGTTGTTTCCTTGATTTTATTTTTTTTAATCAGTTTATAGGTAGATAGTGAATGAGCTTCCTTCTTTGTGATAAACTGTCCCACACTGGGATTGCTGGATTGAAACACAGCTCATCTTTTAAGACAGCACTACTGTACTGCATTTACTACTTAAATAAAGTACTTCTTTAGAAAGAAGGATGTCAAACTAGAACAAGTATCTAAAGATGTCATTTTACTATTTATTTTCCTACACTCTTCTCTATTCAGCATCATTTGAAACTCCATTTGAAAACCCATAGTTCAGAGTTCTTCTTAACTGTGTATTCTCAGTCCTCAGCCTCACTACTGCTGCTTCAGCAAGCTCTAGTCACACTAATTCTTTTTATCCTGCAGAGAATATTGCTTTTGAAGGGTGCGTTTTTTAGCACAGCAGTAATTGCACGTGCAGCATATGTGAAACATCTCTTTAGGCAACTTTTGTTAAAGAGATATAATTAGTTTATTCACTCTTGAAGCAAAGGGACTCTGCAAGCAGAAGCACGGACTTCATGAAGTGGAGACCCAGTCAGCATCTGTAGTCATGTCCTTACCTAATTATCCCTGTGGAGACTGGAATAACTTCTACCATTGTTTTCAGAGACCAGAGGCTTTCTTTAGTTCAGTAATAGAGAGGGTATCAACACTGTGCACATTTCCATCATTAACTGAATCCATGCTTGTCCAAAATGAAATCCACAGCACTGAGTAACTGAAAAGGAAGTATAAAGGTTTAGGCCAGGTGTAATCTACATTTCAGATGGGTAAATTTAATTTCTGTTCCCTCCTCCACTCCCCCCGTTTATTTACCAGAATATCATCTGTCTCACACATCTGGAAACAAAGCATTTCTTACAGCTACAGCTGCAACTGGGACATTGTGATATACAGACCAAATACTCAATCTTTTATGACGAGTTTTCCTTTGGAAACTGTGATTTAACCATTGCCCTCAGCTAACCATTAAAGCTAACCATTAACAATATCAAATCATTTCTGTTTCCATCTTTAAGAGGCCTTGGTATTTCTCAGGTAAGAACATAGATCAGTGGTCTTGTTCTGTTCTGACAGGATGAAGAAAACAGAAAAAAGAAAAATCCCCAAACAAAAAATATGCTACCTCTGTAAGCTTATTCTGAGGAACCTAACTTCTATATTTTATGCATATGTCTAGTTCTTGAGCCTGCCTTTGCACAACTGAAGCAGGAATTTGGCTCCCTGGTTTTATCATCTATTTAAGAACAAATACACTACAACGAAGTCTAGCAGCTGGCTTCTGATGTAGACAGCACAGCAGCTCCCCAAGGGGGCCTGACAGGCATCTTAAGTGGTTCAGATACTGGCTGATGATCTCTGCAGACTAAATCCCACATTTCTGCAAACACCGATTATAACTCTGAGTTGAGTATTTTTCTCCTGCTGCCCACCTCTTTTGTGTGGTTTGTAAATTGCTATAAAATTTTGTGCAATTTTACTGCTGTTGCTCTCCCTCTACTCATTCCTCTAAGCCACATCTGGTATGTTACATGTCTCCATCTGAGAGATTCCTGCTGGCTTTCCAATAGCTCCAGCAAAGCAATATTGCCATAGGTTGTTTAAAGAAGTGGAGGCCCCTTTGCAGCACAAATCATCACAATGTGTCTTTATCTGCCACTGAGCCAATAAATTTAGTACCGATATTTTTGTCTACGACTGTTTCAAATTAGCAGATATACTTTTGTTAACAGGAATTGTGCAATTGTTTTTATTTGTTTGTTTGTTTCCACTCCCCATTTTGATTTGCACGCAAGCACCTGTGAGTATGAGCTTTTACTTTTTATCTATCTATATACAGATTTGTCTACATGCAAATGTATTTGAAAAGGTATATGGGCACAAATGCTTTGTGATTGACCCTGGGTGAGAAAAATTAATATTGTTGACCCAGTTATCACAGAAAACCTATGTTAATATATTTTGTTAATAGAATTCCCCAGGCATTTGTGCCTCACAGCTGAGCCACAAATTGAGATACGTCCACACTTCCTACCTCCCCAATATTTCTATCTCATCACAAGCATCCAATTTCCCCTTCCTCCTATGGCAGCATCTCCAGCACCTGCAAGGCTCCTTGCCTGCAGCTGGCAAGGAGGCAGGGCACGGTGCACCTGGCCGGGGTGAGAAGTATGGCCTCCAGCTCATTCACAGTGGCTGAGCACTGCTGACTGCTACAGAGCTCCCCAATGAGGCTGATGGAAGAGAAAGAAAACAAACAAACCTTAGATAGATGAGGTGACAAATGCATCTGGCATTCATAGTTACTTATTAGACAAGTTTAAAAAATCCCTTTGGCTTAATACATTTCAGAAAATTAATACTGAGTTTGAAGAAAAAGTCACTCTTCAAGAGCTGCCTTTTTGGTATTGTGTCCAAGCAAATAACTGTACAGATTCCTCCTATTGGCCTTTTTGTCTCCATTCTTCTGTTTCCTTCTCAGCAGCTGCTCTTCTGTGATGCTGGGAGGCTCTGCTTCACACCACCTTGGCATTGTTGTGCATGGCTGAGTGCTATGGGGGATAAAAATGGGAAGATTTTCTATCCTTCCTATAGGTTATTCCTGGAAGAGGTAGAACAACTTTTCACATGATAAGGACACCACAGTGCAGAGCATAAACACATGTCAAAGCCCCACCTGATGGGGAACAAAAGTATGGATATAGCAGGAAATTAAAATGTTCTGTGATTGTTTCCTTTCGAACAAACAAATCTTTCCACAGCTTTTTTTTTTTTTCTTTTTTTTGTTTTTTTTTCCTAATGCAAAACACTTGCAGCATAACAAGTGTCAGGCTTTTTGCTAAAAGATTGTCTACCAAAATTAGGAATGTGTGTATGAAAAAATGGTAGTCCTTAATAAGGCAAGCTGACAACATTGGCTTATCACATCTATGCAGAGTAATGATTGAGCAATAGAAGAGGAAAAGATGTCTCAGATAACTTGCCATTTCTAATTTTACTTAATAATCACTTCACAGTGAAGTGTTTACAGTTTCTTATAAAAATAATCTTTCTTCTTGAAAAATATCAGTTCTGTATCTTGAGTTATTTAGACATCACAGGTTTCATTTTCACATTACCTTTTAGTGTTAAAACCTGCCTAGAACATTACAGAAAAGGTGTACAAAAAGTATGTTCATAAAATCTTTTCCATTGACATTTGTGAGTGTCAACTTAAAATTCACACTGAATCTTGAATCAAAACTGGACAGAAAAGGAAACATCCTATTTATAAGAAGTCCATATGTGTACAGGGAGCATTAATTTCATTTGAAGCTGTAGAAATTAATACATATAGTTTTCCAAACAATTCTTTGTTTTTGAAAATATAGTACTGAAAAAAATAGTGTCTTAACTCTGTTTTGGGAATTAGACAGGACCTAATCGAGGATATGAAGTAGTAGGTGGTATGAAATAGCCTGTGATTTACCAGTAACATTGTTAAATCACAATATTTCATGCTGTATTAGGAGAAATGGTACAGAGAAGAAGGTATGTATATAATACATGGAGCTAAACAGTGAGTCCATTTTGAGAAACAGCAGCCACCACACTGTGAATATGTTCTGGACAAGAATGAAGAGACAGAAACACCAGTCCTTTGCAGTATTACTACACCATGGTGGTTGCATGGAACATTTTTAAAGAATCCTTTCAAAACATTATTTCATTTTCTGGGGCATTATTAATCTCTAGTCCATAGAGGAAAACAAAGCAAACAAACAAACAAACAAACAAAAACACTGACACAAATATTCCATAAACAAGTATGTAAAACTGACTATTTTTTGTCTATATGCTTCATTAAGGAAAGGAAAACAACGCAAAACAAAACAAACAAACAAAAAGAACAATCTTAAGCACAACATTTAGGTGCTAAGTCTGGAACTATGCTGTAGACATATATATGTGGAGAGGGGAAAGCATTCAAAGTACAGGCAGAATAGCAGCCATAGAGCTGATCTGCAAACCTCAGTGTTTTAAGTAACTCTGTGGGCTGAACATGTTCCCTTTCTCCTCTGTAGGGGACTAAGCATGAGGATAGCTGCTTGCGGAATTTCTTACCTTGACCATTTCTTTGGCTGTTGAGATGGTCAAGTGGAATCATACCACAGGTGCCATCTCCTGCTTTATGCAACTTAGATGTAATTTTCTCTCATCAGAAGGCTGTCAATCAATGCCTGCTGGTGGAGAACAATTTTTCCTCTCTGCAGAGGAGAAAAATAGTTCTGGTAGAACTTTCTTTCCCAAGACACAGGTTTTCAGAAAAAAATGTAACAAGGCATCAGGATTTTCTGCAAGGTTAAGCATGATTGCAACTGTTAATAACAAAAATCAGCTTCTCATTTTTATTCACAAAAAGTTACCAAAAAAAAAAAAAAAGCTGAAAACATTTTACAAGGAATCACTGGAGAAAAGTGGAAATTATCCACCCATCTTCAAGTATAATATAGTAAATACTTCCTCTCCTTTGAAAATATTCCTATATATTTTTTTCAATTAATAATCCCCAATTATTTATTAAAGATGTGGGTCATTTGTTAAAATAACCATTAGTTTTCCTACGCTGAAAACTGGAGATATGTTTGAAAGTCTGGACCTTCCAGTGGCCAAATATAAAGTTTTAGAAGACTGTTTCATCTGCCTCTCCTGTGTAGTGTCCCATGGTTGAATGAATAATCAGATTTTTCAGATGATAATAAGGGAACCAAGAAGCATTTAAACAAGATGAATTTTGTGATTGTCTGTCATCAATTCACTTAAAGAGAGATGAACTAATTGTTACAGGAAGGCCTGAACATGAAACAACAGGAGCTGAATTTCTCATGTTATTGCATTTGTGACTTGTGCCTGTTTATTTTGAAAAGGACGGTTTTGTGGTAAAGACACTGAGTGAGTGCTCAGGAGTCTTCTGCTCCTTTTTTGTTCAGCCACAGCTTCCCTCTGTCTCATGTCTCAGAAGGAGAGGATAATATCTTCTCTCATCACAGAGAAGGCCGATACTAGGCATGAGAACAATAGTTTCTTGATTTTGCAGTGATGGAAGACATAGTCCCTGTCTTTTTTCTGCACTTAAAGCTAAGAATTTCCCTTCTGTTTTGATGTGGTTTCTGCCAATTCACTGCCTCTGGATGTTCCATTTTTCTGAAAATTTTGGAAATCTTAAAAACTTGAACAAGTAACAATGTTCTGTTTTCCTCCCTGCTCCTGGTCTCCTTTGTAAAGGCATAGGCACTTCAGTCTTTAAATGGAGAGGTGCTGTGGTCTAGAACAGAGATCACCAATGTCTTTGTAACTGAGTCGCTCTTGAGAAAGCAAGAGATCTGCCATGCATCACTGTGTTCAGCTCTAGACATTTCCCCACTTCCTCAGCATCAAAGCTGAGCTACTGAGTATGGTTAAACCCACTGGATTAGATCCACCACCAGCTGGGTGGTCCACTACTTCTGACTGCAAAATTGCGGAGCAGATATTGCAGCTGAATCTTCAGTACTCAGGAAACATTAATTTGCTTGGTCTCCATGCTTCAGCTCTACCATACTTACATCTCACCAGCAAGAAATGTCTTAATAACTGATAGCCACTGTTCTTGAATATTGTTTTCCTGAATACTGTGATTGGTTTTGCCATAATTTGAATCATTGTTCATTTATCATAGGCAGATCCTTCCCTAAACGTCTTTTCAATTTTCAAGTGGGCAGCAGCAGAGACTCTAGGAAGAGAACTAGACTGAACGATTAGAAGACATTATCTGAGAAAATCATGCCTTGCATGAAACTAAAAATTCTGGCTTTCATTTTCTTCATATATATAAAAAGGCATTTGCTGAAAATTATCCAATGCAGCAGCTGACAGTGCTTGTAGCTTTCCACCCTCTCTCTTCTTTTCATTAACATGATTTAAAGAAAGGAAATCAGATCACAAAGACAGTGTCAGCACTATATCTTATAAAAGTTACTGAATGACTACGTAATCTCAATGACTAAAAACAATTTCCAAGTTATCTTATTACAGATGTTGCTAAGATTTAAAGAGTGATTTGCAATGCATGCCTCCAGCAGCTAGAGGTTGGTGTATTCAGCAGTGCTGAAAGGAGTCCAGAAATGCTCAGCTGTCTTCTGAAAAGGAATTCACTTCCTTCTAAAGGAAGTACATGTTCATGTCTAGCTCTACAAATATCAAGATGACTGGATAATTACCAATGATCATTGACAGGTTAAAAGGTTTTAAAATGTCAGATCAAAGATCCAACTCACTCATTTGCCTGATTCCAGTGGTGGCCAGCAGCAGATGGCTAGGAAAAGCACTAAAACAAGACAAGCACAGAATGACACTTACCCTTTGCAAATATTTATATATATATATATATATATATATATATAACTTGTCTACACAAGAGCTAGACAAGAGAGACATGAAGGAGGTCACCTGAACAGAATTACAACACAGCAGCTCACATTTTCAGCAAGCAGAAGAAATTTTACCTTTGATGAACTGCATAATCCCATTACAAACACATGCACACAGACAGAGCAAAGCAGAATATTGTGTTGCTTTTTTCCTGACATCCAGATTTTTAATGAAAAGTATGCTTTTCACTCTTTCCCAAAGTCTGTGAGAATAGACTGGCAATGAAATTAAACAGTAACAGAGCTGAAAGTGGTAAAAGGAAACTTACGTGTATATCTTGTGTAATCAGCCTTGGGAACTCACAATAGGTTTTACTAAGGTTAAGAAGTGGGATTAAAAAAAAAAGAAAAAAGTATGAATAACAAGAACATTTGCAGTTATAATATTATAAAATAAACCATACAGGCATGAGGGCAGAAACCACTTATTAACTGCCTGGGGGTAGGAACAATGTTTTCACTCTAGGCATGTTGATGTCTAATTTTTAATGATAAGGATTTTACACCTTCCTCTGGCACGTTTGGTACTGACTCCTTTCAAAAAGCAAGACAAGGGGTTAGACAGACCTTTGGTTTAATCAGTCCCAGGTTTCTTTTGCTTCAAAGTCCCCCTTCCTGATCTACAAGGGTGGTCTTCTCCACATTGGGAACAAGGCTGTGCCAAGTTATTACATAGTTATTTATTTTTCAAATCGCTTTAGAGAGCAGATGTTCCCATGCAACCATTAGACCTCTCTCTATGGAAGTCTGCAGCACAAGCCGAACCCTGAATCTCATCCAGATACTACTCAAGTCTAGTTTCTGTAGGAAAACTCCCATATCCCAAGATGAGGATTTGGCCCACTGTCTGCGACAGTCTGTTCGGCTTCTGCCTCCACTGCACAGCGAGCAAGCAGTAGACACAGATGTTAGCATTCATGATGCTAATATTTAGGCTGCCTGACATGAGAAATCACAGGTATAATCATTAGGCGGATTTTTCCCTTCCTTTCTGGAAGAAACCATTGTGTTGTTGTTATTATTATTATTATTATTATTATTATTATTATTATTATTATTATTATTATTATTATTATTATTATTATTACAATGGAGTATTAATAGTTTAGCTTTACTTTTCAGACTTCAGAGGCTTATCCAAAGCTTATCTGAAAAACTCATGTTTTAAAAGTGGACAAGAAGTCTCGTCAGAAGTGTATCTGAGGGGAGTTTCAGGATTTCAGTATTTCCTGTTCTTTTGGCTGACCCAGAAACAATGAGATACATAAAACTTATCAAAAGGATCTTAAAGGGGAGGAAATTTGATCATTGACTTTTAGTAGATGGAAGCCTGATGCTCAGGGAAATGAATAAAAAATCTGCCTAGTATCACACAGAAGTCAGTAACAGAACTGGAGTCCAGGTCTCTCAGTGTCTCTCATTGCAAGAAACCCAGCCTCCCTCCTGTGATTCCAGGCCTTCTTTCATACGAGTCACTCTGGGAACAAGAAGATCAGAGGCTGCCAACATTTTTAAATATGTATTTTTCACAAATTAGCCAAATGTTTTTGAACATTCTCAAAACCTTTTAGTAAGATCCATGGAAAGAGGTCAGAGGACATACTGTTTTATGTGAACTCGCCCATTCACAGTAGTATCTGTTTTTTCGTCCTTCCTTCTCTGTTTTTCTTAAAGACCCTGTACTACTATGGCAGCACTGTTTGTTATGGTTTCACTTGTTTCTAATGGTTTTATCTCCCTGCATCCGTTTTGCAGGGTTTTGTTTGGTTGCCACAAAGGGCATTTTTTTTTTTTTTTCCTTTGTTCTTTCCAAATCATTATGAAGTGTCTATGCTCAAAACTGTCCTCATGACAGCCTTTTCTCACAGATCCACACCAGACATTTAAAAGGTACTCTTGGAAACATGGATAACAAGATCTTGATCACTCTATTACCTGAACAATGTCAATCATTTCCATCCCTACAAAATAAATAAGACCCATCTCTCAATAAGCCTGGATATTTGTATTGGTTTAAAGGATTCATCAAGAGTTGACGCTGAGGAGTATGCGGCTTTCTGGTACAGTAGTCTGAGTACTCTGGCTCTGTCACACTGGAACCACCAAAGCCAAAGAAAGCAAGTAACTGGGGTGCTGGTCAGGCCAAGGAAAGTGAATAGTTGGGATATTTACATGTGAGTATGACTTGAGTTCATACCTCAAAATCGGCATTTTGGCATGCTGGAAATTCTGACTTCCGTAATCCAATTCAAATTCCCCTGCCTGGGAACAGTTTATATTGGTGGCAAAGATCTCTCATGCTAATACTTTTTTCTTGTATCTTAATCCATTTGAATCAACACTAATCACTCATTCCTGAAACTCTCCAGCAGGAAGGCAATCCTTGCACACACAAACATATACCAACAACTGAATCGGGACTCACAGCAGAAGTGGTTGCAGAACACGATTGTGTATGTGTTGAAACACGTTGGCCAAGATCCAATACAGAGTATGTTTATACATGTCCAGGAAAAAAGAGAGAAGCAGGACCAACATTTCTCAGTCAGAATACCATAAATAAAACTTTGGCTAGTTTGCCCAGTAGTAAGGCTTTATATGGAATGATGTCATGTATAAGTCTCAATAAGTCTCAATGAGGCTAGAAAACCTGTCATTTACAACCTTAGAAGAAAGGCTGTGATTTGTAGCCTGGCAACAAATTTGTTGGTTTGTTTGAAATGCAAGGCAAGAAGTTTTTAAATTGAGGGCTTTTGGGAATGGAATATTACCTTCAAGAAACATTTTAACTATAAAAAAGGTAAAGAGAATTTTTTTTTATAAAACCTTTTTACAGTTTATTTCCTATCAATAATTTCTTAAAATATATATATATATATATATAAATGAGGATCTGACTAAATGAATGAGGACGTTAAATGATAAAGTTCCGTCCATGTAAACAAATAAATAATTATTTACAATTTTTGGCAAAACAATGTGAAATTTCATTGATCTCACTCTCTCACACACACACTTGCAAGGAAAAAAAAATGAGAAAAATAAAAAAAAAACATCATAAATAATTTACATAGAATAGGAAAATTATGATACAGTTCAAATATTAACATCTTCATCCCTACACTGATGTCTCTCTTCAACAAAACAAAAAACCCTACACAGCCATTACAATCATTACATTTAATGAAGTAACCCTCCCTTCTGCTTGGGACTTGGGGATACAATTTGAAACACCAAAAGAAAGAAACTGAAACACACTTAAAAACCTCATGAAGAGGATTTGGAAAAAAAAAAAAAAAAAAAAAAGAAACAAAAACAAATAAACAAAAAAAAAAGAATTGATAATATGACCAATATAAAATGTGCAATAAAGCCAGCAAATGTGGATTTCTTTCTATTGAATATAGCAATGAAATCTATTTCAAGGGAGAAAAAGTTGATTCAACATTTATCTCACTGTGCCCTGTAAGAAGGCAGAAATACTGTATTATTCCATTAGTAAACCCATCTATGAGTAAAATTATACCAGCAAGTGTTCTTTTCGTGAACAAAGCTCATACAACTTAAAGAAAACAAAAACGAAATGTTAAACATGTTTATACTATTGTATATCTGAATAACTGTTGTATCTGTTTAGAATAAACACTGGTATCCCTTCAGCATTATTTTAAGAAGTTCTATATACAGCAGACATAGGTAAAATACAAAATATTAAAGATAGGGTAACTGGATATATATATTAAGGTTCCATTTATAAATTCCTTATTATTATTTATTTAACTTTAAAGCATACTTGAATATAACCCTTACTTAAGTGTACACAATGGTTTGACAATATCTACATATTGTGATATGCTTTAAAAATAGCTTTAAAATATCATCCTTTGTAAATGTATTACTGATGCATTATATGACATGCTTTAAAATAAATAATCAGAGAAGGTAGCTTGGTGTGATAATCATAATAAATATTAACAAAATATTTATAAGTGGAACCTTAAGCTCTTACATTACCAAATTAAGTAATAGTGGCGTTGCCACCTTTTCAAAAACCCAGATCAGGATTCAAGATGTCAAAGTGCTTTTTGCAGCAGAGGTGGGAAAGTGGTTCAGGTTCATTTTGCTCCACATGTTCATGGAATATTTTTTAATATGAGGGAATGCAAAACATAATGGAAATGGAAAAACTAGCAAACATTTTATGAGTCAGATAATGGTGATAGTTTTGGACTTTTAAATTAATCACTCTTCCCTTTCCCATGGGAGTTTCTAGTTCAATTCTGTTTGGCCTGAATTGACTCTCTGATGTTAGTCAATGCTTTAGGTTGCAAATTTGACATTTCTACCAACTTTAATTTTAATGGGCATTATTAAGAGCATTCTCATCAGCAATAGGACATCTTTTTGGATCAAGAAATCTTCATAACTGACCTTCATTTTATTCTCCAAAAGCTTTTCCATTGTTAGTATAAACACTGTTGGTGTGGCCCTCTGTTACTTTGCTATGGTTGGACCCAGAGGTTTTGTCACTGAAATCCAGACCTGATCAGAGCAAGGAAGCATCAACCATACACCTAAAAAGTTATTTAAGCACTTTTTCCTCATTTGAAGATAATGACTAATAATCATTATCTCCCCCCTTTTTCCATATATATATATAAATACATTAAGTAATTACATATTTGTATGTAAACGTCATTCCTTAAGAAAAGGCAAATAAACAAACAAATGCGGTTTGCTAAGTTTTCACTCTACAAAAGTGTTCTAATGTATCAATCTGCTTTTGCTTCAGTGGTGGGTCAGACGCTCGTGTTTAGGTTTCGTTAGTGCTGGCTGTGAGAAGGCACTTTGGTGGAGGGATGGCTGAGCCACTCCTGGCAGCAGGGAGGTACCTGGTCAGTGGAGCCCGTGGACAGAGAAGGAGGTACACAAAAACAGAAAATGGGAGTACCAGGATGTACTGAGGTGTCTAGGTTGCATTGCATTTACAGTACTTTGCTGGTAATGCAGCAACCATTGCTCAAGCATCTGAAAGAAATGGGGAAAAAATATGTTAATTGTTGTGGTTGATTTATTGGTTTAGAATTCAATCAGAATTGAATGATACACACACAAGGTTGCAGAGCTTCCCATTCTGCATTTTCCTACACGTGTAAACATTTACATAAAAATACATCTACCTATATGTGCACATGAATAAGCACTTATGTTTATATGAATATAAAAAAATCACATATAGGAAAACCTGGGAAAGCATTTTCTGTATTTCAAAACATTTTGGAAGTGGTACAATACACAGTCATGCTCATTAAGAATGTCTACTCTCTCCTTCATGTCTCCTGGAAAGAGGGGTGATCCCGAAGTAGCCCTCTTCCCGCAGGACACACTGAAATAGCCTACAAAGGAAAGCGGATATGCAGAGAGAATTCTAAGCGCATATCTCACTCAGATTTCTATCTCATTTTTTCCAGGTGGGTAATATTGAACATCTGGGTTTTATTATTCAAATTGAGATTACTACAGGGGCAAAGAGCATTCATGGTATTTCAACAAATCAAGGTTCACAACATGCTATGAGATTACAGATTGTTTTCAGTAACAAGAGGATACTCTGCATTTCCATATTTCATGCTTGCTCCATAGGTTACACCAAAGGCATCAGCATTTTCCAGACATTTTCTGTAACTAACCTCTGCATTCATATTTGAGATCAGAGAAATAAACCATCTCTTGAGAGAAGACAAAAAGACCCAATCGTCCACCAGCAAAGGTTGTATCATAGATTGGTCCAGAATCCACCATGACTTGCTTCCCTTCATAAACTAAAACTCTGTAAAGAACATAATATGAATTAGAAAAGGAGGATGATAGAGTGTCCGGTGCTAAGGGCTAGTAACAGCTTCCAAGAAGTGAATCAGAATTCATTTTAACAAGTCACCAGATAACACAGCTTCATTGTAAGGATCACTCCTCAACTCTCTCTCACACCCACATGGCTGGCAGCCATAATACATTAATCAAAAGTAGTGGAGCTGTTCTATAAGTAATTTTATGCACACCATCTGCAAAAGATTTCCCAATTCTTTATTTAGAACAGTCAAGTCTCCTGGAATGAACTATGTCATGTACTATCATTCATTGATAAGACTCTGTCCCTGTGAACTCAGAGGTTAACACAAGACCTAGCCACATAGCTTTGCAAAGTCTTCTGTATAGCCGTGTGAATGGCTGATTTACTTATCTCTAGGTGCAAGGGCCAAAATCAGAAACTGGAAAAACTTTCCCTTTAGATTCTAACAAAACATTCATTGGAAACATGCTAAATTTCAGTTTCAGACGGCTTAAGCTCCTAATGAAAGCTGGAAGGATTTGGACACAAACAACTAGATTTATAAACTAGAAAAGAAAGAGTTGGTTGTTTTTTTTTTTCTTTTTTTTTTTTTTCCCTTGAGTGTCTCATGCTCCCACCCTGGAGCCAACAGACCTCTTCATTTTTCTTTTCTACCAGACAAGTTGCAGTTCCTTGCTCATAGATTCTCCACTTCTCATGGGAGACCTTACAACAGGAACTTTAAGAACCTAAGGTTCTTAGGCTCTCAGACTCTAAAAATAGCCAAATGTGAAGTGAGTCTACAGTCTTTTGATTACAGCAGAGACAAAATAACATAGTTCCATAACTATACTATTAAAATAATTGCTTTTGTTTCTTTATTTCCTTTTAAAACACCCTAAAGAATGAAGGAATCTAATGTCCCAGACCATAGTATTTGTCACAGTAGACTAATCTAACACGTTACCATATGAAATATGTTTTGTCTGATACTAAGTACCTTCTGCAAAGGAAAAGTTACAGGCAACAGCAACATGAATGAAAAACTTGTTTCTTTTTGACCTGTATCAGCCAGTGCCTTGCAATGCAATCCTTTGATGCATAAAGACTTATAACATACACAGAAACTTTTTTTTCCCCAAAAGACAGACCAACTAGTTTAACCAAATTTGTCCTTTCGCCTTTCACAGCCAAACTCCCCTACTCTTACTAAACACTTACTAAACACAAACTAGCAAGACCTTAAGATGTCAGACTGCCCCATGAAAAACATACTTACCATACTTACAGTAGTTAGTACAAGATAAAATTGACATAAACAGTTAATGCTTATTCTTTTGAATATCAGATAAACAGCTGGGCTTTAAGGAAAATAATATGCCATAGCTCCTCCCTATGTGCATTGCAGATGTGCTTGTGGCTACTTCTGCAATATCTTGTATAAGCCACTATTGGAGACAGGATGCTGAAGCAGACAGGAGGCTGGCCTACTTCCCTGTGGCAATTTTGATGTTTCTAATTAATTTCATTCATTCATTCAAATTCCAGAGGCTATGGAAGAATCTCATGTTCTAATCTTGCTTTGAGTTTTGCTTAGGAATTTTTGGTCCCTTTACAGAAGAGCTATTGAGAAAGATTTTTTTTTAAATTTAAGAATATTTAACTGATGTAAATACTGAACCATCCCTACTAAATTAAATACACCTGAGTCATTCTAAATATAACAAAGTGATTCCCTAAATATTGAAACAAACTGTAATGTAAGTATGACCATTATGAAAACTAACAAAGAAACTGATGAAATAGCTGTTATAT